CCCGTTGAATAGAGATCTCTCGTTCGTCCGGCGACACCACCCCATTGCATCCTCAGGCATAGCTACGGTACGTCCGCAACCACTTATTCAGTTAAACTATCAAACAATTAAATAGATTTTCTCCTATTCACGACCTGGTGGTTACTCGTCCGGTAACGTACAGGCAAGGTGAGATAGTCTACTCTCTCAACCACCGTTCCTTAAATCCGTTTGACTAAATATTTCTCAGTAATATACGGGTGTGTTGAACCAATAAACGAACTTAGTCACCTACCGTTTCCTCACTCTGGAAGAAGAATCGCGTAACACGAGACAATGCACCTAATCAGTATGGGCTGTTAACATTTGTTGTAGATATTTTTAAAACACAACCGAAAATTGTTGAGCCATGGAAAATTGAAGAATAGTGAATGTTATTCTGTTGCTTTTTAATCTTGTTCAACGAGAACTTTTTTTCTAACCGCCGAACTAGAGATGACAAAAATACAGCAGATTATGCACCCGAAATCAGTTTCAAACCAGACATACAAACATATATGGCTGATTTCTTGGATGGCTTTTTGATATAGTCGGCAGTTGTGTGTGGTCACAAATAAATAAATAAAGTGAAAACCAGTTTGCAGGTAGAAATATTCTGTCAGTGAAGAGAAAGATCTACAACTCGGAGTGTCTCTCTTTGTGAGCGTGAATTCCCGGAAATGCCCTGGGACACTTTGAGTACATGGAGTTAACTAAACCTCACATCGCCACATCTCATACGTCCCTATTGGACTAATATATATATAATATATGTATATAATATATATATATAAAGTAAATAGTTATCTAGAAAACAGTCGGAATTACCCTCAACAGTATATGGGTACCAGGTGAATTCCATATCATTTCGGTATTCTCAAATAGGTGTTTGTGCGTGTGTGGGTAATTCGCTAATGTGATCAGCTTTGAGGAACGAAGCATACGATTCGATCACTGAACACGCAGAATCACTTACCCTTTTGAACACCCTGAACTCCGAAATGTTGTGCAACCCCCGGGAGCTGGTCGGATTCCTAGCTGGCTGATAGGGATACACAAATGTGCTACTTATGGGTCGATTTGCATTGTCTTCAATTCGCATAACCTCATCGTTTTCATAACCGTGCAATTGGATTTTATAAAATAAAATTTTCTTTCGCCTGTGCGCGCACCCTATCGGAATCGGACTACTGAACTGGGGCAGCGATTAGTGAAACCGATTTTACTTTTTCCAAAATCAAATTAAAATATCACTGTGAATAGGAGAGAATGTTCTTTTTTGATTTGAAGAAAATATCTCGTCGTACACATATTCTTGACCTCGGAGACTGGTAATCTACGAGAGAGAAAGGCGAACGGTCGCTTGCGGTTCCGTTGACTCAATGATAAACGCTTCTTATGAATTGCCAACTACACCGTTCAAACTGTGCACCCCCAGGTGAGCCGAAAAAATATCCAAGCATCACTATTGTATCTATGGCCATTTCTCCCCACCCCCAGGTGCGTGAGAACCAAAAGAAATCCCCTTTTTGACCTGACTTACCCGGTAACGGTACCGCCCGAATCACCAGAAATACACCGATCAACAAGACCAGAGTCGTAACCGTGATCTTCATTGCGTGTCTGGAAAACAGAAAGACACCGTATGAGAACACCCGAATCGAGTCACGAGACTGAGGCATCTGGACAAATCAATCCGGGATTGTTCAGTGCGGCCCGAATGTATAGAGAGACAGAGAGACGGTAGGAAGGGAATGTGATTTCTAACCTGCAGACAATCTTGTAAAACTGGCACAGAGAATGCAGGCCGAGTGGATCACGTCGACAATCACCACTGCGATAACGTGAGCAGCAACAAGAACAACAACGCCAAACAATAGATGTAGGAACAGGCGAACTGGTACTGCTCCGATTGTTCGTGATCTTCACTACTGTCACTTGGTCACCGTGTACCGGGGAACCAAATCGGTGAAGTGAGAATGGTTCATTGCGTTTATATCATCGTTTCGTGTTGTGCATACACCGGTGAACGTGAAGAACACTTCTCGAAAAATAAAAATAAATGCGAATCCTCGCTCCGGATGAGCACGTGAATGCATGCTCGACCCCTTTTTTTAGAGTTGTCAGAATGGGCTCATCTTATCTGTGCATAATATTTGTGAACTGGATCGACTCATCAAGTGATTCTCACGAACGATATGCTAATATCAACACACACCAATCACATCTGGAGTGTAGCTTAATGCACTAAATAAACTGTCATAATGTGAAGAGTACTGATTGATATTTTTGTGTTAAATTTACATAAGTTTGAGTTGCACATTTTTGTCGAACCGGGGCACTGAACGCTTTCTGGGACGAGAATGTTTGAGTGCGGGCCAACTGATTCACATTGAATGCGTAGAACGATGAGGACTCTCTCTCTCTCTCTCTCTGTGTGTGTGTGTGTGTGTGTGTGCAGAGATGACAATTTCATTGTGATCGGTCAGTTTAACGACCATTTCGCTGGTCTGAAACAGGGGCTAGACGATGCACGATTCACGTACGCACAGCTGAGTATCAATTTGAAATTTGTTTAGTCACAAATGGGAAATCTACAAATGTGAATATTAGCATGATTGTAGTTTGCACACCCGGATACGTTACATCATTCTCAATTGGAAGAGTAAACGAACACGCACGCTCGCGTGTGTGGCTCAATTTTGATTCAAAATGTACTCAAATGAACTGCTACCTTTTCAAGAACAAACGTGATTTCTTATTGTACTGAAACACTCCGGGTTATACGCGAACCAATTTCTCAAACCCCACCCCATCCCAATTTCGTCGGACTGAGCCATTTTTTTGAGCACCAGTGATTCCCGATCGTGATTCGGTATGACCTTTCTATTGGACAGCATTCTATGATGAACGGAAGAAGTGGGTTTACTTTATGGGAATCGTTCGCTCATAAACACCAGCAATATGGACTTGGAGTAGAAAATCACACCAGAATTCTTCGGTAATCGCAAACTAGTGTGTATAATGAACAGCAGACGGAACGGACTCCATAGTCACGAGGACTTGCTGTTCAGTGATGGTAACCGGTAACCTAAGCTCCGGGGCTTGGAATGGTGAACCACATAAGCCCCCGCTAGACCTGGCGTCTTATAGAACCGAACGATAGCAAGCTGCCTACCACCAAAGTCGGATGGCGGTGGTGGGGCTTGAACCTCGGACCACTCTAGCGAAGCGACTCAGCCACTGCGCCACCACCATTGGCGTTGTGCTGAGCTACTACGTTCGTTGGATCCACTAAAGCTTCCCACGCTCGATTAGCTACCGGTATCTGATGGCGTTCTTCTTATAGCATGTTCGTAGCGTATTCGGGCAAACGTGCATCTCCCCGGACAACTCGAAAGTTGACTAAGAGAGAAACAGATATGGACAGGAGAATCAAGAACGGAAAAAACTGCAATTCGAATTGATCAGACAACACAACCAGACAGACTCCGAGGATGGCTAAAACGATGGATCACATGTATTATTCTTGTTGTTGGAACGCATCGACGATGCTTTATCAAGTTGAAGCGGATTTCAAACAACTGCCTGTAGACTCTGGTCAGCAGACTGATGTGGTTTATTTACGCAGTTTCAACTTCTCCCTCCGCTCTCTATCGCACCATAGAATTGTATTCACCGATCGGAATTGGTTTTGCCGATCGATAACTGCAAACACGTGACATAATGCTGGTGTTACACTTCTGACAAATGCTTCAAAAATGTAGTCAACACCAAACTCTGGTTTTATTCGAACAACCGCAAAATTCCCGACCTTCAAATATACATAACTAAATTGAAGTATCAAAATTTCGTTCCTAATAGTACCAAACATAAATCCTTACAAAACTATAGGAAAATGAAGTGGAATCATTATTAACCAGAATAAAATCCACACCCAGGGGCAAGGGAATAAATAATCATATAAAGACATTTCGATATGTGTAGTCTGATTGTTAATCGAGTGACTGAAAAGCTATTGATCACTAATACTGGTTAGTGGTGGTCGGGGGTTCGAACCTCGGACCTTGTCTACTGGTACACGTCAGCGATAGTCACTTGACTGTGGACACCAATTTGCATCCGCGAGAACATCTGATGCATCGTGTCTATGCAAACCTCACTTTTACATTACAAACTTGATTCTGAGGTCATGGGGTGAAGGTTGTGATCGATTGGATGCGCTGTGCTCATCGGATGATCGCTAAATTTAGTCATATTAGGAAATCCTGCTCCAAGCTAACTGCTGTCTAATTAACTGTTCCAAAAAAAACCCACAAGTTGGTTACACAGGGAGAGGGGGTCAGAAAGACTTAAACAATCTATACACATTAGAGTTTATAGTCGGTGTGACAATGTTGTTAGCCGTGTCGAAACCATTTCAGTACTCCAACCTACTCATTTTCCATTGTGATGTGAACAGTCGAAAAAAATGCAAAATCGACGTTCAAAAACCGCAACAACAGAAAAAAAATCCGCGCTGACATCAAACGATAATTCTACCGAGTATGGGCTGATGTGGGCGTCTAAGCGACAAGTTATACCGCATTGCACCAATTAGATAGACCGTTTTCACTCTCACGCACACACGACCCATATGGGTATATACTGTCTTCACATAGAGCAAGTTACACACGTGAAAGGATAAGCGATATCGCATGGGAACAAATAGGATGCAGACATTTGACGGAACTCACCGAATCCGTTGAGCTCTGAATTGAGAGACCAAATCCCACACTTAAATAGCTATTCGAGGCCGGTCCCGTGGACAGTGTTCCGAGCTGATACAATTGTAAGGATGCAGCGACACCGGGTGCATGTACAACCAGGCGCGCGCGTGAGTGCATGTGTCTGCCGCGGTGCGCTCCTTTGTGCGTGTGTGTGTATTTGTGTGTGTGTGCATGCGCAAGTAGTCTATTGCGTGAATTGCGTGCGTACCATCCCGCTTAGTCTGTCATCGTGATTGGTGGCTACCTCGTCGATTTTGAGCCAATCATTGCTCCAGCTCGAGAACACTGCCTCCACCCCACCCCAAAAGAAACCACTGTGTCAAGTTCGACTACTAAAATTAGTGGATAACCGCATGTGAACGGCTTTCATGATTTGAAAGCGGCATGCACAAACAGTTCCATTGGTATTGTAAATGGCAATGAGCAAGCAGGTGCGCCCACGTAAAACCTTCTCATGCATTTATTTTATTTATTCAGTTATGTTTCTTATTTTTGGTGTGTGTGTGTGTGGGGGGGGGGGGCGATTAGTCAATATATGGTACCACTAAGGGCTGGAGTGTTCACAAACGACCTGGAAAATGACTAATGACGTGGTTTCTCAGACCAGTTAACCACGTCAATTTACATAAATGATTTTGTTCAGAGTTCAGCTTTTCGAAAGGCAAGGGTTTTAGTTGATTTGTTTCAATTGTTCGAAAATATAACATCATTACAGATTGTCAGACAAACACCGGAGGGAACAAGCTTGTTTGCAGTGATTCATCTGCAAGCTAATATATCACAATGTATGATGTTATATATATATATATATATATATATGCATGATATGACAATTTGTAATGATGGAAATCAACGATTTTTATGTGAGAACGTTTTCCGGTCGTCAGCCATTACTTAACCCAATTTGAGAAACAGCGATCATCACTGATGCAGACGCGTCATACAATTCGGCAGAATTTGTCCACATTCATCGCACCCTGTAACTGTCATGCGCATGCGAGAGAAGTTAGTTCACTTTCGTCGCCGGATCTTATGTGGAACGCCATACCAAATCCAACTGTTTAAGTTGTCGCTTTCCATCACTGAGCGGCCGGTCTGCGCGACTGTGGGACTCGCTTCACCACCCACCCCGAATGTTGTCCAGCACAAACAAACGAAAAAACTGGCATTCGACTTGATCATCCCGGATCCAGTGAGGTGACAGTTATTTTAGTCTTCTCCAAAGTCGATTAGGAAAGATAGTGGTGCTGATAGTGGTAATGTAATCAGTGCTTAAGGTTTATTTCGTAAAACGAGGACAGGCCCCA